CCAGCGGGTCATCATAAGGGTATGCCACCTCCCGCAATCTTCGGCTGTGAACGTAATCTTCGACACCGGAGATTGTGGACCTCGGATGGAGACATGGTTGACTTGATTGGTTTGACCCCTCAAGTGGCGTTTCTGAGCGCTACGGGAACTCGTCCCCCCAGAAATGACAAGGCTGTTAGGAGTCTCTTTGTCCTGCGGCTTGTCTTTCTTCCGGTTAAAGTCCAATTGCAGCTGAGAGTCTTACTCGGCATATTTCTCTTCGCGGCGGTCCGCGAGGTATTTCAGATAGCTCTTTCGGACCATATCCTCGATTTGATCTCTCAGCTGCATACAGTCCTCAGTGTGGTGTCCAGGAGACTTATGGAACTCACATCGTCGGTCTTTATTTTTGTTTTGGTGCCACAATGGAAATGGCCTCGGTTTTTTCCACTCCTCTTCGTTCTTCATTATGCTATAGATTTTAGCACGCGGAAGAGCGAGAGGAGTGTATGATTCGTATTTCCCTACGAATGGGGTTTTTTCTTTCTTCAGTTAACCGAGGACAATTCTGAGGCTTTCGCCTTCCCTTTCCTCTAGCCTTCGGACTAATGTCCTTTTGCCTTACCAGTCCGAGATTGGGACTTGGTTTTGTTCCATTCCGCGTCGAGGGCTTCCTCTAAGGTCTGCGGGGTGTACACGACCATGAAGTCAAGAAACTTTCTAGCCTGTAGCCCGTTCCGCTACGAGAAAACGGCTACCCCTTGGTCCAGACTTGTAATTCTCGACGACTCGTTGCTGAAGCGAGTCAAATAATCTCGAAGGCTTTCGTCCTCCCCTTGCAGGCTCATGAGCTCTGCAGTTGTTTCTCTCGGCGATTCGCCATAGAAAACTTGCTCTTGAACTTGTTGAAAAGGTCATTCCAACTAGTTATCGAGCCTTCCTTTACTCCCTTGGTTATCCACGCTTGTGCGACACCTTTGAGGGTGGTTGGGAAATATTTGCACCAAGTTGCTTCGAACCTGGGGTTCAGGTACATGTGCCCCTTGTAGGAGGCAATATGGTCCTTCGAATCCGAAGTACCATCATATGTGATGTGTGCCGGGATTTTCACCGTCGGCACATGCTCTTCCAGAATCCAGCTCTGGAATGGGGAAATGGAGGAAACCATCACGACTTTCCCCTTGTTCCTGGCCGTTGGGACCTCGTTCCCCCCACTCAGAGAGGTAGAAGTGCTTTTGTCCTCGGTTGGGACACTACAGGGTAAGGTGTGGTTCCTTCGGGGTAGGTGAGGCGAATGTGCACACTCCCCTCCCTCGAGCCGATACGTTCGTGGATGTTTCGGCGAGCAGGCTCTAGCCGCGAGGAAGCGGTGTTGCTGCTTTTGAAGTTTGGGGTTTCGAACCCCTCGAAGAACTGGGGGTTTCTTTTTCTTTCCTTTTAAGTTCTCCAAGTATCCTCATCCCAATATTCGAGCTCTTTAAAAGATGGAACTCGCTCTCCCTCCTCTTGCCCTGTTCTCCTTCTCAGGTGCCTCGGCTGCTCTACGGTGTCAGCGCGCACCGAGGGAGCAGGAGGTGGGAGATGTTGATTCACTTGAGCCTTCATGAAGTCCATGAAGGTAGCGAAGGCTCTTGCCATCTCCTCCGTAGTGGGACCCGTTTGGAGCGCCCCCATTGGACGAGATTGGGAATGACGACAAGGGGTTGGACTCCTAGCATTTGATCTCGGCCGCCAAGAGTTAGGACGCCTGACCCTGTGTTGTGAGGTGATCTGTCCGATGCAACATTCCTTGACGAGGTAGCCTCGGAAGATGATGAAGAAGGTGGACCCTTCTTCGAGGGTGAAGATGGAATTGGGTCTTTCTTCGAGGAAGAAGGGCCATTCTTTTTGGCGCTCTTTCCGCTCTTAGTCATGTTGCTAAGATGATGGATTTTTGGCTTGTTTTTTAATGTCTTCCTTACCGACGGTGCCAAATTATTTCGGGTGAAAACAATGGGTCCTTCGTCTGAAGACTGGACTCACCCCAAGTGATGACTGGGACGAGGGTTTCTTGCACAGCAAACACACATAAACTGGCCTCGGGGGTTGTGGCGAGGAAGGCCCCTTCGATGCCGAAGTCAGTATAGGGTTTCTAGACAGAGAAAGTTATGCAAGAGAATTAATTGCTTGAGGCTTCAAGTGAATGAATGTAAGGAGAGGGAAGTGAAGGCTTTTATACCTTACTCAAATAGATAAATTTAGGCCTTGAAGTCAAATGGGCTTGCAATGTTACCAGGGCCTTTTACTGGCGTGGTATGCTTTAGGAGAGTTGAACCTTTTTTGGGTTTTGTAATTGAATCATTGGTGGATCGGCCCAATTGGAGTAAATTGGACCCAAACAGTTCTTTTTGTAGAAGAAAAAAAAATAAATAAATAAAAAGTTCCATTACATGGAATTCCCACCATAACCTCTTGAAAATAATTACCATATTCATAAAAAATTATACTAGAATTAGTGGCAAGAGTGCTACACATTAGAGAATACAGTTTAAAGTTATACAAATTTTCATCTCAACCAGCTCGCACCTTGGTTAAAACTTTTCATAGTGAGTTCCTGACCTTTGTAAATAGCTTAGGCCTAGATAATGTCTATCTATATATGTGCTATGCCAAGGTTCAAATTATAGCTCAGTGGTTTTTAATTATTACTTATGAGTTATCAAACCAGCGAGAGAAGCGGGGGCTAAACCCTAAGCCTATTATGATAAAGGAGACACTTGCTTACATCTAGTGGACCTCAGATTTTATCGATGTTGTATGAAATATTAGGCAACAATAGGATATAAGTCATCTAACTAACCTTTATTCAAGACCCACCTTGACACTGACAATACTTCACATTTTATTAATGATTCTCAAAACTTGCTTAATTTGTGGAAATTGTAAGTTATATTGAGTGTATTGCTTGTTTCTTAGAAATTTTGCAAGCTATAATCTTAACTCAACTAGTACTTTAGCATGCATGCATACAAGTATAATTCATGTTTGCATAACTTTTTTTCATAATATAAACTTGTTCGGTTACTTTTAAAAATGGTAATAAGGATAGTTGGTTTAGTCCTATTGTTGAGTTCCTATATAAAGTTCATCAAGTCAGGCACTCTTTACTTACCTTTCCTTTTGTTCCTACTATCTAAAGGCTAATTTGTTAGTTATTTTTAATACAAATGCTTAAAAACAGGACTAGCTTTAGTTGTCCACAACTCCAAGCTTTATTTCAAGTTTCATCCACGTGTCCAAGTATCCGATTTTTCTTTCCTTTGCATATGTTCACATTTAAGATTCGGTACTTTTTTATTCTCTTTAAATTTTTTTATTTGTTAATTATGTTTTCATTAATTCTTTTTATTGTTTTTATTATTATGTGTGACTAGATTTTTTATTTTAAGATCTAGTGGAACCCAAATATGATTGATGCATAAACTAATTCTTTTTATTCTTTAATAATAATTGCAATGACATGCATGATTGATTGTGCATATGCTGATACTATATCAGAGATAATTAGTATTGTTATAATCCATTGTTCTAATCACAACGGGAGTTGGGTTTTAAGGGATTTGAACAGATCAAATAAGGGTTTATAGTTCATCACGGATATAGTTAGATGAATGATTAAGGCCTTTTGTTTTGAGCTGTCTGCAGTACTCTACTCTGAAGTAGGCATGATTGTGGTTAGGGAAACCATTGATAACTCGGGAGAGATCTTTGGTATTATTTAAGGATTACTTTTCCTCTTATCGGTTGAATCATATATTAGGGGTAGAACGATTATTGCATTGATTGTATTCGCGGTGATGCTTGATCTTAGATGTTTTTATTATTGAATTTCTCTAATTATTTAGATTTATTGCATTCTTTAGTCAATTTGTTACAATTCTCAATATTCTATTTGGTTATTTGCTTAGTAATTATTCGAGTCGTTATAATTAGTCTCTTAGAGATCCGACCCTTCACCCTTACTTTCCAATCTACATAATTAACAGGTCTAGTTAGGTTCATTTTTGGTAGGTATGTGACAAGCATGTCAACTACTTATCTTAGAGATTTTCTTCTTTAACAAAAATATTGGAGCTTAAAGATTTTCTCATCAACGTGACTTTTAGAGCTCCTATCCTGATTACTAATCATGAATTTGTTTTCATGAGTCTTATCTTATACATTTTATTGTGTATATTGATTAATAACACAATTGTTACATGAACTAATGATGCTTTCATAAACTAACACTCATAATGATACGTTTTTGATTACTAATCATGAATTTGTTTTCATGAGTCTTATCTTACTCATTTTATTGTGTATATTGATTGATAACACTATTGTTACATGAACTTGATGCTTTCATAAACTAACACTCATAATGATACTTTTTTAATCAAGGATCTGTGTTATCTTAATCTTTTTCGGGTATTGCCTAAACACCGATGAATACTGAAGTGTTCCACAAAGATACCATGGCTTTGACGTAGATATGCTTTATCAACCTATGCTATGAATTAAGGTATTGGATGCAATCCATCTAAAAGTCACTTTCTACAGTCCTTTTTAGTGAGTTTTTCCTACAAATACTGCTATGAATTAGGTCATGAATAGCAACCTAGGCATTTTAATATGTTCCATAAGAACTCTATAAAATCAATGGAAAATCCGAAAGAGGCATGGTATTCGGTCATTCATATGCAACAGAGTTTCTTATTATATGGACTGTGTTGACGCTCCAAATATATATTCTAGGATTGGTCAGTGCTCCACACTGAAAATACGATAGACATCAATGCCAACATAAATACCGCTAGTAGCTTAACACCTCCATGTCATTAACCCAGTCAATATCACAACAGCAAAAAAAAATGCATACTTTAAATTTCAACAACATCAGGCCACATAATTTCGGGATAAGGGAATACCAAACAGAAGTTCTTGGATCAGTTACGAAGCAATTACCAAGCAAACGAAGAAAGAAATAACAAAAGTATTACCCATGATAAGTCAATTGCCCAACTTTCAGTATGCACGAGACTGTGAACAATTGCTTGACGACTCTGAAGGCTTCCAGCTTTTCCCAATTTAGGCATCAAGCTTGGCGACAACAACTTGACCTACTCATAAACATAAGAATAAAAAAACTCTTTTAGGCATTTTATCAAACAGGTAATATGCAAACCAAATTCAAAAATAAGAACTAACAATAAATGGAGAAAATTGACGACGAAGGTGAAAGTGATTACATTAGTAGGACGAGCAGGACGATGAGGGATGTGAAGATCATTGGAAGGATGGTAAGGCTGAGAAATAATGCCTTGAAGCCATTTGCAGGCGATTTCGTCTCCAAGTTTAGCTTTCTCAAAGAGATCCGATGTGTTGAGTACTCGTAATGCTGCTTCCACTAATGTCTCACTTTCGCAATTCGGAATTTTTGAGTCAGAAGATTGGCTCATTGCTCTTTTCTTTCTCTTTCTCAAATCAAAGGCTTCTCCTCACTTTTTTCAACATGTCGTCAATGGGGGTATATGAGTACGATTTTTTTTTTGTGTAGAGTGGAATCACGGTGAGTCGGTGAGTCCGTTCGTTTGTATGGGTTAATTATATTCTGCTGGTTGTTCGCAGGTTTAGTTAAAATCCCGCGGGCGGCTCGCGGCCTAATCATATAATTCTCGAACTCTTCTTCTTTTTCACAGTTATTTTATTATTTCGACCCTTTTCTTTGAACTCTCCCACGATTTTCTCCATCACTCCATTTTCTCCATTACTCCATTTATAATGTCTGGTGATTTAAACCTAAAATTAAAAGATTATGTACCTTTGAAAGTTTATCTTAAACATCATAAAAAGCGAAAATCCTTAGAAAAAAAGGAGTTGCAATTTCTATGGCTGACAGGTATTTTAATTTGTTTTATACAATTTTCTTTCGTCTTCACTTATTTAATGTTTATAAATCCTTTTACTATTTTTTTTTTAACTTAAATCTTTTTACAACCAAATTTCAGAAGTTTCCTTGAAGAAACCTCGTTGTGAACAGGGGAAAGTTGTAGTTGAAGAGAATTAGTCTTTTGGGTAAACAATTTTCTACGAGTACATATTACTTTGTATAAAGTGCAATGTAAATTTTTTTCTATTTAGATATTTGTGCATAGTACACTATTTGATATTAAACTTCTTTTGTCAGGTTATAGACAATTTGTGTTAGGTTTTTATATTATTTTTTCGGTAATGTGTTAGTTATGTTAGGGTTTTATATTATTTTTGTTTGAAAATAGAATAGTACTGTTAGTCATTATATTAAATTGCTTTTGTTTGATTAGTATAGTTAGATATTATAATATTTCTCTAACATTGTGTTGTTTTAATTTATTTTTGTTTGATTAGTATAGTCGAGTTTAAAATTATTTTTGTTTGGTTTTATGTTTTGATAGTCAGGTATAAAATTATTATTTTTTGGTTATAGGTTTTCATAGTCAGGTTTAAAATTATGTTTGTTTGGTTTTAGGTTTTCGTAGTTAGGTTTAAAATTATGATTGTTTGGTTTTTAGATTATGATAGTCAGGTTTAAAATTATGATTGTTTGGTTTTAGGTTATGATAGTCAGGTTTAAAATTGTTATTGTTTGGTTATTGGTTTTCATAGTTAGGTTATTTCTTTCTCTGATAATACATTGTTCAAGTCACTTTATATCTTACTATTACTTCTGTTTTTTTTTCCTTTTCAGTTCTTGTACTGATGCTCACATGGAGGATATACTATTGGTACTAAATCTAGTTCTTTAAAAGTTTATCAAGTTATTGAAATATCCAGTGAAGAGCAGAAGAATGTTGTTAAAGAGATAGGATTTGGTGGTTTGCTGCATCTTAACTTTCAAGAGAAGATTGTAAGACTTTTTATACAAGTATTTGGTAACCCACTTTAGACCTAAGTCTAGAGTGTTGCTTGTTGGTAAAAAGGAATACCCTATTCATATAGATAGTGTTGATATGGCTGATATGTTAGGTATTCCTTTCACTAATAAATCTGTCTAATGTATTTCTTGAAAGGAATGGTGTCCTTCCAACAAGTGTATTACTCCGATAGAGGGTTCAGAATTATTACAGAGTTAATTCTTCAATAAGGTCAAGTGATCGGAATGCCTAGGTGGAGGCCGCTTCCGATCAGTAATACCAAGGTACAATTGATATTACAGCTTAATCTTAACTGAACCCTTCGGGTCGAACCCAATCGAATCTCCGATCCGAGACGTCGAATTAATCCGAAAGGATTTAATGAGTCGACAGAGTTTTACGAATACAGACGTCGGAAATCGAGCCTAGGGCGTCGAGATCGAGCGTCGCAAAATCACAAGCAACAAGTATGAGCGTAGCCGTAGCTAGGCTAGGCTAGCTCATCGCAAGCCTAGGTGCACCATGTGTGTGCTAGGCGCACCATGGTGTTCTAGGCACCGTCGCAGCCTAGGCGCGCCCTAGCAGCCCATCGCAAGCTAGCATGGGTGCATGGGTGCGCAGGGCAGCTATCGCAAGCCACACAAGCACCAGGCAGCCCATCGCAGCTAGCAGCGTGCTAGCGAGGGTGCCTGGGTGTTGTCGCTAGCCCATCGCACCATGCACAACCATCGCAGTGCTAGGCACTAGCGCATGGGCTTGTGCATGCATGCCTCGCACCATCGCAGCCCTATCACACCAAGCACAGCACCCTCGTGTGCGTATGTGTGCATAGGCGCTCTCGCAACTCCCTAGCATCACGCACTGCACCATCGCCCAGCAGCCTCGCAATGAGGCACCTAGCTGTGTGCTTGCGTGCGTGCCTTCGCATGGCAGCACCAAGTACAACATGCTAGCAAGGAGCACCAAGCCCAGCATGCGTGGCTCGCTAGCAGCACGCATGCTAGGCCTTGCGTGCGTAGTGCGCTGGCTGGATGTGCGCATGCTGGCCTAGCTGGCTGGCAGTGCGAGAGGCCCTGTGCGAGGGGCCATGTGCGAGAGTGTGTGCGAGGGAGTTCTAGGCAGCAGCACTAGGCTAGCAGCACCAGCGCCCAGCAGCTCGCAGCGTGCTAGGGCAGTGCGCGCCAGCACTGCTTGCTAGCACAACAAGCTGGCTAGCTGCCCAACCTTGGTGCTAGGCGCCAGCTGGCAGCCTTGGCAGCCAAGGCAAGCTGCCATCCTAGCTGTCCATAGGGTGACGGTTTTGGTGAGGGGTGGGGACCAAGCTTGGGCAAGGCCTTGAGGAACAAGGCAATGGTCCCCCCACCCATTTATGGTCCTCACCTAACCTTCTCTCTCTATTTGACACTTGTTGCATTGTGATTAGTTTTGCTTAATAATTTATTTTAGAAATAAATTAATTAGCAAAAATATATTCTCCCACATTGGTGGAGGATGAAAAACCAAGGGATCATTTCCCTATAAATACCAAGCTTGGTATTGGGAATTGATACAACCTTGAGTGGAATTAAAAAGGCAACTCTAAGAAAAGAGTAAACCTTTGATTCGTAAAACTCATAGTTATTTTGTCCAGGTCTTGACTAACCTTCAAGACTTAAGACGCTCGGGTCGGGTCGAGGGTACGATCCGTCGGAGATCTCGTCTTTTCGGGATTTTGAAGTAAGAGCTCTTTAGGAGCGAAGCACGCGTCAAAGGTATAATTCTTGTCCTTAATCTTGTTTGATTAAGTTTATTATGCTTGTTTAATTGCTTTAATTAAGGGGCAGGTCTTGGTGGGTTTCCTTCCGCGTAATGTCGGGTCACTACGAAACCCTACAGCGGTATCGGAGCCACGCTCCTTTTAATTTTTGCAATTATTGTTTAATTAAGATGTTTTAAAGAATTTATTTTTCTGGTTCATGTTCATCTAATTAGATTAGATGCTCGTTTTAATTAATTTTTAAAACTCGGTTTTATTATCGATTTGGCTGTTGACCCAGATTTTGGCTCAAAAATAGTGATTTTTGGGTGGAATCGACATTTTAGAACTGTTTCAACCCTTTTAGGATTGTCCAGAAGCCAAATTCGAACCAGAAACCCAATGTTTCTGGGGTTTTTCGTTTTTCAACGAAAGTTTTAATTCTTTTTAAGCCTTGATTAATGCAAGCATTACAAGGTTAGATTAAATGCACATTTGCATCACTAATCTACTGGTTTTAAAATATCCTTGAGCATAATAATGGAGTGTTTATTAGTGCTTAAGTTGATATACCAATTTATCACATAAACTTGTTTTTCACAATTTTGCAAATAAATTGCAATAAGGTGTGAAAACTTGTTGTGATCTTGTATCTTAAGTTCCCAAGTGTTGTTAAAGTTCTAATATTTAAGTGTTTAAATGATTGGAACCCTAACCCTAAATTCCATGTTGAACAAAGTTTGGATTTTTTCATGTTTTGGTTGATTAAAATCCATTAAGTTCAATTACTTGTGAGTAAAATTTGATTAATCTTCATATTAGAAGATATAATCTTGGTATTTTACACAAGTATGCAAGTTGGAAAATTTTTATCATTGGATGGTTAATTTATTTTTCCAACTCCCTTTTGTCAAATCCATTATTAATTTGCATATTGGCAAGATTAATTTTGGACATAGCTCATTTTATTTTAAGCATAATGTTTGACCTAATTTTGTTCAAAATTGAAATTTTGGATAAGGCTTGTGCACCAATTAAAATAAAATTTGTTTAAGTTAGACTTAATGGTTGTTTTATTTTATTTTCCCTAAAATTAATTCTAAAATATAATTTGGAATTAATTCATGTCACACGTAAATCGGGATTAAAATTCCGAGTCATAGCACGCAAATCAAGGCAACACACCCAAGTGCCAGCAAGGCTAGCCGGGCTGCCTAGCAGCCCACATGTGGCTGCCTGTGGTGCGCACAAGGGCGAGCCTTGAATGCTGCTATGCGATATGTGTGTGTGGCTGGGATGCATGGCTGGGGTGCGTGGGGTGGCTGGGCTGGCTTGCGAAGCATGCTGCTGGATGGCTGGGCAGCAGGGCAAGCATCAGCCAGCGCACCACGAGCATCATGATGCGCCTGCCTAGCAGGCCAGATGCTCGCAGGCACCAGCATGCTAGCAAGCATGCGAAGCATGCTAGCAGGCAGCTGGGCTTGAGGCGCTACTTGCTAGGCATAACAGGCCTCAACCACGCACCATGGCGCCATGCCATGGGCTGCCTAGCAGCCATGGTGCGCACCCACCAAGGGATTTGTTGGGTGATTTTTGCTTAACGTTGAGCTATGATTTTGCGTTTTTTCCCGAATTAATAATTTTAATTAATTATTTTAATGAGGCTAAAAACCTCGATTTTCGATTTTGCAAAATTTTGACAAATTACGGGTTATGCCGACTTAATTAATCGGATTTATTAAGTACGGATGCGGAATTTTGTGGGAGCTTAATTGAACGCGTTAGCATTTTGCGTTTAAAAATAATGGATTAAACCACTTTGACTAGTTTTAATTAGGCGCGTTAATTGGATTAACGACCTAAGTTAGTTACTAGTTTTGCGTGTTTAATTATGTATTTCGCAAAATAGCATGGGCCGTTCACAAATAGTGAACGGGTGAATGAAAGATTGCTTTCAAAACAGGTTCTTTGAAAATGGCAACTAGTGGGGCCCGACTAGGATAGAAAATACGGACTGCGTTCCGTTATGTATTTTTGTAAATCTAAATACGGTCTGCGAACCGTTAAGTATTTTTGTACTATTTAGATTAATCTTAGTCGTTCTAGCTAGCTTCTTTTATTTCATTTTGGCCAAGAAGTCTCAAGACGGCGTTTCGAGGAAGACGAGCCAAGATGAAGACCCATGGAAATTGAAGATTTCAAGGGGTCATGCTAGTTGCCAAATGCATCTATTTTATACCTTATATATTGTTATATATATATGTTTGCTAGATGCATGTCTAGGAT